ACAGAAAGGGTGATAAAATATTGGAATGGCCTGCCTGGGGAGGTGGTGGAGTCACCATCCCTGGACGTGTTTAAAAAGAGATTGGATGTGRYRCTYRGTRCCATGATTTAGTTTAGTTGAGGTGTTAGGACAGAGGTTGGACTCGATGATCTTGAAGGTCTCTTCCAACCTGGTACTTCTGTGATTCTGTGATTCTGTGAAAAGGGCCACGAGAGGATGTAATGTGATGCTACATTCACCCATCACACAAGGCACCACTGACAGTCTGGTGCCAAAGACAAGGAGAAAGAAAGTCAGCTGGGCTGTGGTGGCTTGGGCTGTCCACAAAGCAGGAAAGCCAAGCCACAGCTAAGTTTGTAGGAGAGAAAGAGAAGCCCAGACAAGCTGCTCTTTCATCTCAGGGGGGTTAGGAATGGTCTCAATCCCTCTCCTCCTTCAGCTGCACACTCCACACAATGGCAAGGGCTTCCAGCAGGCTGCCAGCTCATGCCAGCCTGGCCCAGAACAGGCTGGGCAGATCCATGTTCCTGCCTGCAGCCTGGTGCTCAGGAACAGATGTCATTTGCCTCTCTCATGGCACAGCAGGGCGAGCAGGCAGCACGCTGTCACTTCAGCTCTGTGCAGAGACCCGTGTGTGTCACACAACAGTGTCCCCTGTGCRGCTCCATGAGCCCCTGGCACACAGAGCTTCAGCTCAGCCCCCTCTCCAGCCCAATGCTCCGTTTGTCAGAGCAACAAAAGTTAAAGCCAGGTGAGCTTGGCACCATGCAGSCTGACAAACCCGACAGGCCCTTGCTGCTCTCTCCAGGAAAATGCAGCAGGTTCAGAGCTCTCTATCCAAACAGACAAGCACCTGCTGAGAAGGACACGGCAGCCTTATGTTCAAAGCTGCATCCAAGTTCACGTTACAATCAGAAAGGCACGCTGGAATTGTAGCATCCATCATCCCCTCTGCTGTGCTAACAGAGCACCAAAGAAAGGAGCAGAGCTAAAGTCAGCTGAGCTCTTTGTATTCCTCCAGAGCACTTCACTCAGGAAGGATTTGGGTAATTAAAGAGGAGGACACTGCCAACACTGACCTAAAGAACTGCAGCTAAATCCCATTTAATCACAAGGACATGCAGCAGTCCAAAAGCCAATGTCTCTGCCCTCTGCATCTTGGCTAGAATTTACACCAAAGCTAACAGCTCACCAATTCACTCCCAGGAATTCACACCCTTGCAGACCATGCTGGGGTTTTGACTCTACTTCAAGTTACAGTGGCAATTCCAAAATATTTCAGCTAACTACAACTTACTGCTAAATTCTTCAGTCCCTACCTCAAATTAGGAAAAATCAGCTGCCCCCCATGCTCATTCTTTTGCAGCGCTGTTTTTAAGCAAGCTAGATGAGGAGGCCCAAGTGTCAGCATCATCAGATCCCTGTTGTGATCACTGAGCAGACAGACCCAGGAGGAAGGAAGTCATTATCTCACCTGCAAAATCTTTACTGAGACATAGCAGACACAGATTTAAAGGAATCAGATTTATGCCAAGGCTTTGCAATCACTTTCATCAGCTGTTCACACTGAGAAATCAACCTTTGTATAAAARTGTCGGGGCATACATGAGTTATGTTCCAGCAGCTCTGGTACAGAAGTTTGCTCCTGAAAAAGGACAGAAGAGGTAACTGTGGAGTAACATTTTAAATAGCTTCAGCAAAATCCTCTTGATACTTGTGCCCTGCAGAAACATCTGTTCCACCAACAAGGCGAAACAAAACACATTTTAAAAATGYACAGCCCTGGTGCACTCCTGCTCAGTTCCTTTCCTTAGAAAGTTTTATTGCACGGCTTTACAAGAAATCAAATATTTCTCCAAGCCTTTCAGGGGACGGGGCAACATTCTCTCATGCTATTGAATGTGCAAAAAGCAGCTTGGGTGAGAACCAGGAAGCAGCCTCAGGCTTCTCTGGGAGTTATGAAGACAGCCCTTCCTCCCTTCTTAGGGAACCACAAAAACCCAAAACCCAATCTTGCTCTGCCAAGACCTTTGGATACCTCAGGAAATGTTCTTGCATCCAGGAAGACTTCTTTTCTCCCACTAGATCCCAGAGCTGCAGAGGTTCCTGCACTAATACCATCAAGAGARAAGGCTGGCTGGTTTTCTCCAAGCCTGAGTTATTCCAGCTTTCCTCTTGCTCAAGGCAGCTGTGTCTCCCACCATCCATCTGAAACCAACACTCCATGGACTCCTCAGCCTCTGTGGGAGTGCAATGAGCCTGTAAAACCGGTCCTCACAGGAGCATTAAGAGGAGTTTTATGCCAGATTGTTTATTCCACAGGCATTTTAATGCTGCTGTTTTACTCTTGCATTTGAGAGCCCATCAAGGGCTAGAATTTTTTTTTAGAAAAAAACAGTTTCTAGAAAAATACTGTTCTTAAGCACCCCTGATGCTGAATAATGAGATCTGTCTCAATCAACCTGTTTCATTTGAGTTTCAACTACAGATCCCCCCACTTCTGCAGACCATGGATGGGTTTTCAGGGTCCAGCATAACACCAGGAATGGGAGTCAGCCGAAACGAAGTGTAAAGGTTCTTCTGAGAAATGAAACACCAGTGGCCTGGTTAAGCAGCCAGTGACACCAATGCTGAGTTTGTTGCTTAGCATTGTGCCACCCACYACAGTTTACATTTGGGGTTTTACAGACTCGAGAGGTTTTTCATTTCTCAGAATGAAAAAAGCCTGYCTGTCCAGCCTGTTAAACAGAGGGRGTTTRCTGGGTACMAGTCCASCCAGTYTGCAGTAYYCTTAACAAAAATAAACTGGGAACTGCACTCTGTCCAAAGGTTACTCAGTGAAATACTTTGGCAAATGAATCACTAGAGATAGCTGTGTACCAAGAAGCAAAGCTGAGCTCGCCCCAAGGATACCCAAGCATCAGAATAAAAGAATAAAAGAATCAGCAGAGCAGATTTGCTTTTCCAGACCCAATTTAAGATCCCATCAAGTTCAACTTTTGTATCTCACCAAAACAGGACAAACAGTTATAAGGATTGGCAGAGCAGTGACAACGAGCTGTGCTGAAGCAGACTGCCCTGCACTGGGTTTTCCCAAAAAGAGAAACCCCTGGCCTGATCCAGCAGCCACAGGGCTGCTGTAGCCTGGCAGCAACACAGAACAAGGTGACAGAGGCACTGACAGGGAAGAATCCCTTACATTTGCATAGTCCTCCATTAAGAGAAGAGCAGGCCAGCAAAAGCAGATGACATTTTTAACATCACCTTCCCCTTTYCTGTTGCTTTTTGTTATATATTTATAGCAAACCCCTTTCCTTCCCAAAGGTGAGGAAATGGAGCAATRGTGCAAGTTGAGGTTTGATTGTCACCCAGTGGCAGAAAAGGAGAGAGCAGCAAAAGCTGCAATTCCAAAGTATCAATGCACTAAATCACTCAGCTGCTGAAACAATCCCTTTAGCTCTTCAAGATGCAAAACCTCTTATTTAAAATCAYTGTATGCTTTGGGTTGGAAGGGACCTTGAAGATCATCAGGGACACTTTCCATGAGACCTGGTTGCTCAAAGTGCCATCCAGCCTGGCCTMCAACACTTCCAAGGATGGGACATCCACAGCTTCTCTGAGCATCATGTTCCAGTCTCTGCTCCACCATGCTGCCAGGCACAGAGCTGAGACTGACAGGCTGCAGCTTCCCAAGGCTTCCTTTTTTTCCTTTATTTTTAAATGGAGCTATTTTCCCCTTTTCTAGTTAGTGGCAACTTAACTGGGCTACCACAAATTCCTCAAATATGACAGAGAGTGATTCAGCCACTTCATCCATCAGTTCCCTCCCCACAGCCAAGGCTGCCCTTGAGCTTCACATTTCTCACCTCCCTGTTTGTGAGCACAAGGTCCACCATAGCCCCTCTCCCCTTTGGCTCCCCTATGAAACTGATTTATTGTCTGGAATTCCCTTGTTCTGCCTGCCATTCCAGCCACAAAATATAACAGCACAGGCCTTCCTTTGCAACAGCTGACAGGAAAGGATTCTCTGGTTTTACCAAGCAGAATATCTGTAAACAGAGAAAGTCCCTGAAGAGGCCAGAAAGCATCCAGGAGCTACTACTGCATTCCAAAACCTTTCACCAAAGCCTTCCTCATCCATCAACAGCAAATTTTACAGAGGTCCTTTGAGTGCACATCTAACTTCAGACACCAATCTTCCCCAAAATCTTTACCATTGCTTCATGAAACACATGTTGAAGAGGTTCCTGCAGCTAGCCCTCTTCTCTGAGGAATGGTCACATACATAATGAACAGGAGACTTACAGGACCTGGCAAACATGCAGGAAATACTACAAACAACCCTTTTAAGACCCACTGGTACTAGTCCTTAATAACATAGAAAATGCAACTTTCATCCAYCATCTGACCACAATGCTATAAAGAAACACAGGAGTCCACAGGTAYGGATCCAATTTGATTCTGCATGTTGATTAAGTTAATTGCAATGTCTGATGTTGTTTACACAGGTTGGGACTGAAAAAACCCAAATGGCATAACTAGATCTCCTAGGCATGTCCTGGATGGTGCTGCCCCTAGCACAGCACCATGGCATGACATTGGAACATGCACTGCAATCACTCCTAAACAGGAGGCACGAAAACAGAAATAAACACATGCAAGCCACCCTCTTCCACCCMAATGACACACAATTAAATTCCAGCCATCACAACTCCTCCCTGTGTAAGAAGACACACAGTTGCATTAAAGGTGACGTATGGTCTCTGTTCAGGGTGACTCCGAACGAGGCTGGGCATGGAAAAGCAATGGATTTTCTTGGAGGAACAAAGAACTGAATGAAGATGCCTCATCACAGTCCTCAGATACAAACAAYGATGCAGACCAACTCCAGAGCATGAGCAGCCAGCCAAGACAGGGGACAGGTGCAGCAAGCTGGATGTTTTCCTATGGCCTCAGTGCTACTGCACCTTTACAGACTGCCTGTCACTTTYTGTCCTTTTTGTCACACACTGCCTCAAGCACACGCTTCCTCTGCATGCCACACCTCTGGAGTGGCACAGGACAGCAGGAATTCATCATGGATGGGCAGTTAAACATGCTGGAGATCGAGTCTGCACAMACAGGGAGAGCGGAAGGAGCCCAGGTAAAGGTGCCCGTTGTGTTCGTGTGCCTCGCTGACATAAGCCACTGTCACTCCATTGGGATCGTGGAAGCTTCTTTTGTAGGATCCTGTCTCACTCAGTTCAACAACAAGGCTATATTTGGGCACAAATTTCATCACAGTTTCCTGACTCAGCAACTGAAAGAAAAAAAAAAAAAAAAGAGAATCAACAGAAGGTTTTGTTCTCCACAATCAGATCTCAGACATTTATACAGGCAAAGAGCACTCCACGCTCCTCAGAAGCAGCAGCTAAGAACATAAACACACATTTTGAGTAAACACCAGTACACAGGGTTAACACATCAATATCTGAAAAGCCAACTTTAGAGGAAACAAAAGGATCAGCAGAAGCTCACTCTACTCCTGAAAGGCTGCCCACACAAGAGGCAGCAGCTTGTTGTGGTGCAGCTGATGCCAAGCTCCCCACAGCATCACTCAGAGCTCCTGCACTGCACCACGAGAGACAGGGACAGCAYAGAGCTTGTTCAGCTGCAATGGAATCCTAAACACTGCTTGCTGATTTTCATTTTTTTCGAGGACAGAAGTATTTTTAAGTCTTTGCATTGTTTAAAAAGCACCATGCTGTTTCTTTAGCCTTAAAACAACACATTATCTTTGCTCATCCTAAAGCAGGGTGACACAACAACAGGCATAGTGAACCAGAACAAAATGTCACCACAACGTACACACTGTCTCCTAGGGTGCCTAGGGCAGGCATGGGAACAGCTCACACTTCCCAAATGCTCTTCAGACACCTGGCAATAAGCAGTTTAGGCACTTCAGGTGAAGTCTTCCAATATCCAAATGTAGGTCCTGTGTTGCTGCATGGTTAGAGCAGAGATAGTCTCTTTTTCTTTCCTAAGATCAAGATGGAAGGCAACTTAAGAGATGTGTACCTGCTACTCAGAGAAGCAAGTATTAGTTTTACTACCTAGGAATATATAGGGACTGTTCTACCTGAAGAAAGCAAAAAAATTTTTAATCACAGCATTTAATGTTTTTTCTAAATCTTGTTGTGAAGAGGAAGAAACAAGACAAACAAGTATTTATCACTTCCATTCCTATACTAAAGGTGACTTCTTAAAAAAAMCCTTTTTAATGTATTTTTTTTTACCTTAAATATCATCCTTTTAATCCATGGTTTTTCAGATAAAAAGTCCAACAATGAAAATCCAGGATTGGGTCGCACAGCTGCCATAGCTACCCARTATCCTCCAGAGCTGCTTAACCTGATATTGTCTGGAAGACCAGGCATATTCTCAGCAAACATGTCTGCTCCACCTTTCATCAGCCCAGACACATAATACCTGAAAGTTATAGATAGTAGATTAGGACATATTAACTCAAGCAGTCTAAATAATTAAATAACAGTCCCAAAATTAATTATTTTTGAAAAGTATTTGTTTTTTTCTATTATTTTGGTACACAGAAATATAGCACTGCCACATACTTTTCCCCATTAAAAAAGCCAGCTTACTCCATTATGTTTAAGGAGCCCCCAATGGAAAGATTATGCAGCCYAGATGTTTACAGTGAAATAAAAATATCAAGTATTGAGGAAGGTCACCTTGTCATTTGTAACTAGGCATAAACAAAGTGTAGTGTTTCTTTTGTCATTCCATTTGTTTACTTAAACAATGCCTGAAGAGATTGTAATAATTTCAAAGTCATGCTCACCTTCTGATTCTAGCCATGGCTGTCTCTGTCACCAGGACAAAGTCTTCTGCAGGAGAGAGCTGCACACCATTAGGAAACCTCAGCCCCACCATTAAGACTTTCACCTCTTTTGTCACTGTGTCATATTCAAGGAGGCTAAAAAGAAACCATTTTTGAGTGAAAATGAGTATTTATGCATCTGTGCTTTGTTCTTCAGGCATTCCATTCTTTCTCACATGCACCTCACCTAAGTTAAGAAGGCAGAATAGAAAGGAAGTATTTATTTATGAACACTAGAGAAATAAAAAGCCACTTAGACTGGCAGCATTCGTGAATGATTTGGGTTAAATATAATACTCACACCTTCACTTTTAAAACAAATGTCCCATGCAAGTCCTCTTGAAGGAAAAAGGGAAATCTCATTTATTTTGCTGCAGATCTCATTAGCAACATTCACACATTCCACCACCCTCTCCTGGCCAGTGCAGTGTTTGCAGAGGTGGGTTTATAAAGAGAAAAAATATGAAGATCAAGGAAGTGGTGAAGTCCACTSCTCCAACTGAGCTTAGAGCAAGTTAAACACCTTGGGGAGGAGATACTTACCGCCCATCATCTGTGCCTTCCATAACCAGGAACAAATAGTCTTGTCTTTGCCATTTACTGCTGGAGTCAGTGAAGAAGATTTTCCTCCCATCTCTGGTCACTGTCAGGTCATTTACAAATGACAATTTCTGGCCTTCTATCGGCGTTTTGGTTGACACAAGCGTTTTTGTTTCACCTGGTAACAAAAAGAAGAAAAGACACATGATRTAGCTGCACCCAAAATATATTTCTCTTCATTTTGTGTAAATCTGAGTTACAGAGAAGTAAAGAGCTCTTGACTACCACAGTGAGATCAAGGCAGRAACAAAAGTACAGCAAACATGACAACAAGTTCTTTGTAACAATCTTTTTCCTTTCCTTTGCTGAAAACTGAAAACAGCTACAACAGAGCTCTATTCATGGATCATTTTTAACAAGAAAAACCGTGTAACACCAGAAGATAAGTCACTGATAGCTCTGATTCAGGCAGCTAGATAGAGAGAGGAAGTGATTGCTACAGGAAAATAAATATCAAGTTCTTGCATGACTCATTTTATCCAGACACCTCCAAATCACTTTACAAAGAAGACAAGCATTGTTTTGCCTGCAGCATCTGGCAAAACTGCAAATRAAGCCCAGATTTGTCAGTGGAAGAGAACTTCTGAGCAGAAAAGTCATACCTGTATCAGGATCAACTTCATAGAGTCCATAATAAGCATCTGCCACAAACAGGGTGTTATTTGGCCCCACTCTCATGCCAAGTGGCCTTCCACACGTTGGTTCATCCCCACGGCCTCCTTAGGAAACAATTTTAAAATTATTTTCCAAACAGAAATAAATACAAGGCATTCAAGGTACCTGAAAGGTGTGTTGGGTCTGGCTCAGGTGAAGRGCCCTCCCAGGGCTGTGCTCTGCACAGACACATAAAAAGGTGTTTTGGCTACTGTGGCATACACATGGCACATATATTCAATAAAGAAATTATTCCTGCTTTACTGGGTGGGAGTGAAGCAGATATCCCCATGCCATGTTTTCACCAGTCTAGAGATAATCACAGAATTTGCCAGACTAGTAACTAAAAACTGGCCAAGTAGGGGTAAATATCAGAAAACTGGATTTAACAAAATGCTGCTTCTCAGAAAGAATCCGTTTTACTGCAGGTTTGTGGGGTGGGTTTTTTTTATTTGTTTGGTTTGTTTTGTTTTTCTGGTTTGTTTTTTTCTGTGTTGTTGTTTTCATTTGTGGGTTTTGTTTGCTGCTTTTTTGTTTTGTTTTGCTTTGTGCTTTTTTTAATTAAATTAATTTTTCATTGAAAAGACCCTTTCTTTTTCTGGAAAGACCCAACATTGTCATGAAACAGCTGATTTCTCAAGACACAGACATTGAGATGGACAACATTAAGCTTCCCGCAGAGATGGTTCTGTAATGAACAAGCTGCTGCCAGTTTTTCTCACTCAGTTCCAGCAAGTTCATTACATGAACCAAGTAAATCATTCAGAAAGTTATTTCTTGTAGAATTCAACAAGAAATCACTGCAATTTAGCAGTGACAAAACAAAAATACCATGACCAGTACAGGATCTCTGCTAAACCAAGTGCACCCACAACTCCCACTGCACTTACAGAGGAAGGGGAATAGGTACAACAAACTGCAAGGCAAAATTCTGTAGATGGGCAAAGTGATTTTTTTTCTTTTTTTCCAAAAATCTCCATTTTTCTGTCCTGGGTAATTCAAAATCTGTGTATGGTATTCCATATCTCCTCTACACCAAACTGCCCAAGGTGACCACTGTCCTTTTAGGACCTAAGGGTTGGAAGCAGCCCTGGGGTGTTTTACCCCAGCCTTGTGAAGGCAGTTAGCCTGGAATCCCTTTAAAACAGAGGGAACAGGCACATGGTGCTCCTCTGCTCTCCCCAGGAGCTTTTTTTGGCCAGGCTGCCAAGAAAGTTGCCTGGGGCAGKTTCTCTGAGTGGAGGCAGTGTGAGGCAGCCTGGCAGGTTTGTCTATCTCCCACCTTTGGAGAATTCTGTAACATCTTTTTGGCTGCTGTTGCCAGGGGCAGCCCCATCTCTGGGCCAAGGAGGAYGTTTTCTTCAGATCTTTTTTTGCTKCTGCCACCCAGTACAGCTCTGCCASCACCATCCTCTCCCTCCAGGAGTYCCAGGCAGTGCCCCAGTTCCAYTGCCACTGTCAGGAGAGCTCCTGTTAGGTGGTGTGGAGCACACAGATTGGCAACATTTGACTGTTTTTGGACAGGAACAGTTCTCCAGGACTCTTCTGTTTTGTCTCTGCTCCCCATTAGCTGTTTTTTGGGGGATGAAGGGGTTCTGTAATCATGGAGACTAAGTTGCTGTGTTCATTTTTCCTTTGATCTCTTCCTCYACCATAAAAAGGGGCTTCTCCACCATCTTCTTTTCTTTGTTCACAGGATTTAGCATCTTTGCTTATTATTGTTATCTTGGTTGGTTTTTTTTAGTGAACTGCTATTTTTTCACTTTTATCTTCTCACATTCATCTCTCATTTTTGGTGAAAGAGAAAGGGTTAAAAATACAAGGAAAGATAACTCATTTTGGTTTGTCCACCCCTKAAATTGTCTTAAACCAAGACACTTTCCYACTCACACATTAGCTCAGAGTTCATCCATTCACACTTGTTCAAGAGTCTTCAGTTTTTATGAGGTGGCACTTCACCTCAGAACTTTGATGACTTCAGCTTCCACAAATATCAGGCCAGGTCACTGCCCATTTTTCTTAAGATAGATGGTTTTTTTTTCTGGATGGACTAACAGGAAAAGGAACATTATTCGTGATGCACTTCAACCTCATCTTCCTCTCAAYGTTAAGATGCAGTTTCTTCCACCAGCACATCATCCATGCTGGAGGCCTTGTGGTCATGACACAAAACCCCCTCACATCCATAAATTTTATTGCTKTAAACTGTGTGCTTTGTTACCAAGATCACCCACTCCCATTCCTTTGGCYCTCTGTTCTACTCTCCTTTCAATATGCACATTTTCACCCATATTTCACTGACACAAATACACTTCTATTTCTGCTACAAAATTCTACAGAGCACGATATCAACTTGCATGAGCAATCCAGCCTGAGCAAAGTTTAACCAACACATGCCCTTGAGCCAGACATTTTCAGGCATTCTATGTTCACAAGCTGTCACTCACCACAAGGACCGTGGCCAATTCTGGCTATTGTTTGTATTTCCCCATCTTCAATTTTGATAATCTTCCCATCAGCTGTCCCAGTAAACAGAACATCTGCAAAAACAACCTGTGTGATTAACTTGATCACAAAACCTTATTGGTAAATATTTTTCTGTTAGCATGGATAGGGAAAAAGGAGCCTTCAACATTTATTCACAGAAAACTTATTCACAGTCAGGCTCATTATCTCACTCATAGGTCAGYTGTCCATTGCAGGAACTCCTTACAGAGTTTCCAATGAGATTGATGAAACCAGGCAAGACAAAAAAAATCAATAGCTTCAGGTAATTCCTTTAGCATACTGTTAACACATATGGGTAAAAAAGTGAAATCTGAGGAAGGAATTTACAGTAGCTTGTTACAGGACCATTTAATTTCCTACAAATATTTTAGTAATTTATTAGAAGAAATAGCCCCTGACTACAGTGCTGATGCTTTCAGTCCTGGAAGAYGGGGATTTTTAATCTGGCAACAAGATTTATTTTGAATTTATGACAGAGGAGAACAGCAGCATAGAGAACCCAGGTTTTGCTGCATAACACAACTGCTTTTACAAAAACCTGCCCATTCAAAATAACCTCCAGAGTTTGTTATCCAGGAGGTTTATTGCTGAACTCATACCAATGGAACAAYACCTAAAGAGCCTTCTTGAAAAGCTGATTTTGTCAGTGCTTACCCCCAATATGGACAATGGACTCTGGTCCAACCAGCTGGTGTTCCCACAGCCGTTCAGCTTTTCGTAACTTGGTGTTGGGCTCTAAAACACCCGTCAGGAGGGGAGGCTCCTTCAAGCTACAAAACAGGAGGATCCCGTGATCCTTTGCACAAAATGCAAATATTCTTGAGCAACATATCTGATCTTCTTTTTCCCCTACTTTGCCAACTCCTGCAATCCTGAATTATAATTTCCATAAAACATATTTCAAAAAGAGTTGCAGKAGCTTAAGCACTTGGCCTTTAGTGAAAGTGCAGATCTTTCAAGAGCACACGTGTGTGCTCAATCACAAGCTGCACTGATATMTCGGGCAGCAGAAAATAACTTTGTAGATTAATGATCAAAGAAAGTAATTCAACTCCTTCAGTGATCAGTAGTGACACACAACTGCACAAGATGGCTCAGAAACAGACTGGGTGTGGATAATGTTGCAATCCCTCCCCAGTTTCTCAATCCAGATAGAAACACTTTACACTGTTAACTCTTGTTTGCTGAAACAAAACAACATGCAGAAGTTATGCTTCCAGAACATTCACTTCAATTTACCTTATGGGCTGAGGGTCTATAGGACAATCCAGGAGAACAGTCACCCCAAGCAGTGGCACAGCCACAGACACAGCCAGAGTCAGGAAGGTGACACGGAACACCTTGCTGCTGTAAGTACTGCCAAAACCAGACAAAAAATAGCATTAACATTGTTTTCAGATACAACAGTCCTTAAAAATTCTGTAGCATCCTCTTTTCTTCAGAAAAGGAACCAGTAACACTTTCGCCCAACCACCATCCTGACCTTCAAGGTCCATGTTGAACATATTAGGGTAAGAGAAAGGTTTCAGTATAGTGTCACCATATGAGGCTGAACATTGYAGAATGAATGAAACCTGTGCATGACAAGTTACAGCTGATTGAAAAGAAAACAAACAAAAGAAAAAAAAAACAACCTGAGAAACAGGGGAAAGTGAGATTATGGCAATAGTTTCCATCCCAGCAAAAGTTTTGAATGAAAAGCTCCACTAAAGCAACAAATATAGATGAAGTTGAATGGCTGCTTAACTTAGCGAGCACTGGTTTGAAAGTCGAGCCCCAGCACGTAAATGAAATTAAGTATCTTCTGTTTACCCATCAAAACACACAACAACAAAAAAAATGGTAAAAACTTCTTCCACAGGAGTAAAACATGTTTTGTTCTCACCAATTTTTAGAGGAACCAATTAAGCTCAGCAAAGCCTGGCCCTGAAGTAGAAAAGCAGCTGTTACAATTTTAGCTGCTCTGAACTTTGGCCCAGCCAGACAGTCTCCTTGCAGGATCAATGAAATAAAGATAAACAGTGCCCGGTGGTTCTGCATTAATCCTTGGACCACTTCCACTGTTTTGCCCTTCATTAGCCAATCATCCAGACAGCTGGAAATATGAACTCCTGCCCAGAGCACAAATATCCCAACTGGGGAGCTAAATATGTGTGCTGGTAGTGATATCAGCATCAAGGTAACCTTTGGGATTATCAGTGAGAACAGCAARGACTGAAGCAGGCATTAGGATTTAGGCAGGATTTGAGCACTTCCAGCTTTAACAGTAGATATCTTGAGGAAGCAAAAACCTCCCAGTCTGTGTCCCCTTGGGTCTAGAACTGAGAGCAGGGGGTAAAGATAAAAGGCAATCCCCAAGTTCATAAAAAGACTTCAGCCTTTGGCCTTGACTTTCCACTGTCCTTCAGGAGATGAAAGCTCACTGATATAAGATTAAAGGTACTGTCAGCAAACACCTGAGCATCTCAGCTGACAGCTGAGAACAGCTCACACAAAAGGAGCTGAGAATGAATGGGAACAGAATGGGAACTCATCTGCCAAAGCCAACTTAATTAAAGCTCCTAAAAGCATGATTTAAGTAAAGGTCAYATCTCTGATCCTCAACCAAACTTGCAAGGAGCTGACAACAAAGAAAAAAGGCAGGAGGAATAAGATGACAAGCAGACTCACACTTCAAGCCTGCAAATTGCAAGACCTAGTTTAGACACTACTGAAACGGCGAGAATCTAAATAAAACCCAAAAGTTTAGCAAAAAATTAACTAAAAAATCATCTACTCAGAATCCTTATCAAACTACACAATATAGAATACTGACAACTGCAAATCACTGGAAACAATCACAGAGGTAAAGGTTCACCAACAGTGAAACAGAAAACCTCAGCCAATTGTGYCTCTGATAATTAATCCTACATGGCCTGCAGCCATAAATCCCAATAAAGTAACTTACCAGGACTCCAGCTATAATTACAGCAATTTAGTTGTTACTCTGAACTAAAAAGAGAAGCCATTAAACCAGCTCTTGAAGACAACAGCAGGCTGGCAAGATGCTCCTGTGGGTCAGCATAGCCAGGAACCCGGGCTGTCTCATCCCCTTGGCAGAAGAGCTGCTGGGCTGGAGAGAAAAGCAACTGTCCTCAAGAGTTTCTGCCATGGATACCAGCCAGAATAAAGCCAGGCCCAGGAATTTCCTCCACTCCTTTCACACAGAACATCCCCTGTGAATACTCTGGGTCARTGATAGAGCCCTAGAAATTCAACTGATTTGAGCACCAAAGAGAGACTGAAGGCAGGAGGAGCAGCCTCTCAATTTCAGAGATGCTGATTCTCTCCCCCAAAACCAGGGACTGAGAGTGCCAGCCACTCAGTGCAATCCACAACCTTTCATTCTGACAACCCCGAAGGGCAGAGATAAGAATCTGCAATGTGCTCAAATCAGAAGAGATGTAATAGATGGTGAACAAAAGTGTTGCAAGTCATCAGCTGCCTTATGCAATGAAAGGCAAAGAAACACTGCCCCGTCCTTATTACAGCTATTGTGTTTAGTCACAGTGAAGCTGTTTTTAATACAATTCCTAAAAAGAAAACTGTAAATGGAATCTTTTTTCCTAACTCAGCCACAAACAGAGACTGTTTATAAAGTCAGACACATGTACAGTAGTCGACCAACTGCAGATTTCTCTTTAAACTACTACCAAGATAAAAGCAGGCTAAGCATAATTATACAGGGCTTAATCACACCCACAATAAATCTGCACAAGCCACAACGGGATAATTGTTATTTCTTGCCTRGCAAAAGATAAACAGGACTTCAACAGACCTGTCTTACGAACGAAAACAAAAGGAACTAAAAGAGCCATAAATCAAACGGATGTTTTTGTTGTCCAAAGCTGTTCCTGCAGCTGGGCCGAGGAGGCAGCAGGCGCTGTCACCGTCAGCCCCTCCAGGAGCAGCAGGAGCACTGGGGGCACCGCCGGGGTGACACCAGCACCGGCCAAGCCGGGAAACCTCGGCCTCGCCCGGGGCAGCCCGCAGCC